CGCCCCCACAATCTGGGTCCTCATTTTACCCTCCTCGGAAGGATGGAAGGCTGAGTCAACCTTGAGCCAGTGAGATTAGAACCGCCGAATTGCAGATAGCAGTCAGCTGAAGTGGCCTGCAGTACTGCACTCTACCCACTGCGCCACCTCGGCTCTGCGCCACCTCGGGGATGGTTGAGATAACAGTAACGATAGTAATTTTAGTAGTTAGCTTTCGATGGAGGTATATTCTCTTTAATTAAATATACATTCTTGAAACACTTGAATTGGATGCTGCGCCACACAGCGTAAACGTTTTTTTGCTGTAACGCACGGACTCTTCAAGGGGTTAAAATAACTTTTTTCCTATTTGCAGCAGTTTGTGACTAGATATATCTTTTCCTTGATCTTCCCTGAAGCAGATTTTTGACATTAAAAAAAAATCCCAATAATATATGATCTACTTGTTTTTGAGGCAGGATGGCAAAATTGGATTATTATATTTTTTGTTTTTGTTTTTATTTATTTATGCAAACATATCGTGGTGTGGACAATGTGGCACCTTGGGGTCATGCCTTTTAATACTAATAAAACGAATAGCATTAGTCCTAGTTATTACTTTCAACCAACTTATATATTTCTAATAGTAATACATATTTATATAAAGTTGCAATCAGTCACTATTCGAATATTCCATGTTTTCTCTTATTATTGCTCTTATTTTATTATATAAAACGTACGCGCCAATATTCCCCCTTTCTCTTATTTCTTTCTCTTATTCCAACTTTTAATCATATCATATCCTTTGTTAAAAAACATTTTCTTTCTATCCTACCTCACTTCTTATCATGTCACCTACCCACAAAAAGAAAAAAGAAAAGAAAGGAAAGAGAGAGAGAGAGGAAAAGAGAATCAAATCAAAACACCAAAAACGAAAAATCATCTATCCATCATCTCTTGCCCGCTTCAATACTTTAATTGCTATGCTTTTTTTTTCTTTTTTGACTTGTCTCCCATATTCCTCTCTAAGATCATTATCTCCTTCTACATCTGCTTCTTGGCTGTTCAATCTGAGTATTTTTCATACCTCTACCCTCTCCGCTGCCTAGTTTCCAGGATTTCTGCCCATGCCCCTGTCTCCTTTTCAAAGGTATCTTCCAGTATTTCCAATTCTCTTTTTGACTCTCTAAATACATTTTTGGAGGCTGTTTGGAAGAGAGAGAGAGAGGGTGGGAGGGAGGGAGGAGAGGATGTGTCAGATAAATCTATTTCTTCCTGTGCAGCCACTCAAGACTTTCTGGAACATATTTGAGGAGTGGAGCAGGGGAAAGAGGGGGAAGGGAAGAAGGGGAAATTCTGTTGCATAAGCGGAAGTCTACTCATACCACATCTGATAACAATCCCTGGGATTAGCTTCTTGAGCCCCCATGAAATTTCTCTTGACAGCTATTTCTTCTCTTGGTTGGTGTGTGGAAATAGAGCACAACAATTGAGTGAAGACAAGTGACCTCCGGAGAACCTTTCTGAACTACACAGCATGTGATAAGTTAAATTTGTGCATACTTTGCTTGTTTTTAAACCATGCAGGCTCGGAGCACAGACAGCATTGATGCAACAGGCGAGGGACAAGTCCGTACTTTGGGAAATGCTACCAGTAACCTCAAGGGAAAACCAATCAAGAGGTAACTCAGCGGCAGAGGAAGTGTTGGGGAGCATGGGCTTGTGATGTGCGAGCAAACCTGAGTTTTGTCAGCTCCTCCCAGCTGGAGGGCTTTTAACATCTCACTCCAAAGATAATCTGCAGTTATTTTCTCTTTCTGTTCTTAATGGATTTGCCACAGTAGGAAGAAAAATAGAAGTGTTAGCAAAATATAGAAGGGACCCAAATTTACTTTACTTTACTTTATTGTCATGTCACCTTGTACAATGAAATTAAATGCCATCTTCAGTGTACATTATACATAAAAATAAAAATAAAACAAAAAACACATCCTTCACATTCTATACAATTGAATTGAAAAACCCCTGATATTGCATTAATTACATTATTACAGTAGAATTCAGTATAGTTTCTGCCCTGGGATAAAAGCTGTTTTTCAGCCTATTTGTCCTTGTCTCTATTGCCCTGTACTGTCTGCCAGATGGTAATGGTTCAAAAAAAGGGTGCTCAGGATGAGATGGGTCTTTAAGAATGTTTTGAAGTTTCTTAAGGCAGCGGAAGCTAAAAAAGCTCTTCCAAAGAGGGGAGAGGGCAACCAATGATCCTCTGGGTAATAATGTTAACCCACTGGAGGGCTGTCCTATCTGCCACTGTGCAATTGGCAAACCGTACACAGATGCAGTAAGTTAAAATACTCTCTATGGTACAGAGGTAGAAGGTCACCAGCAGTTCTTCATTCAGTTGTTGATTCCTGAGAAGTCTCGGGTAGTATAATCTCCGGTATAATAAATGAAGGGTGCAATCTTGCTTCTATTTAGTACAAGATATGAGTGTGTCTTTGTGACCACATAATAAAGTCTAGAAGCATCTTGATGCTGAAGAAGGCTTCTCCGGGCATCCAGCATTCTCAAACTTGGGGGCTTCCAGATGTCTTGGGACTTCTTTCAGAATTCCTAGCCAGCAAGCTAGGACTTCTGGGTCTTGCAGCCTCATCTGGAGGTTTCAGGGGGCAGAAGACTGGTCCACATCAAGCAGTGGAATTAAAATGGAGACAAACACAAAGTAATTAAGGAGAGAGAGAGGCTCAAAAGCTCACAGTAAGAGTGATTACTTTTAATATTTCCCCTAAGATAGAGATGAAGAGGTCATGCTTTCCAGAACCCTAACCAGCATGGTCAGTGATGAAGGATGCTGATAGTTGCACAATTTCACAGTTTCTTCACCTTGGCCACAGATCACAATGCTTTGGCTTCCTGATGAGATCGAAAACTTGGAATTTTCAATTTCCTTGATTCACTCCCAGCATCTTTTTCTTGCCCTGCAGGCTTTCCATCACACGTGGCCATTTTCCCAAGCTGACCGAATGTGCCCATTTCCACTATGAGGCCGTGGACTTCGGACACATCCAGGTGTGAATGCATTCTCCCCCCTTCCTTTTCCAAGGACATGAATATTCCTTGGCTCTTGGATGTCTTTGACAAAAAGGTAATTTAGCGGAGAGGTGTAATGATGTTCAAATTGAAATATATCCTATAACTGGTTTTTTTGTTTTTGTTTTTCTCTTTCCAGCTTCAGTTTGCCCCTGATCAAAATGAAAACCTCAACAATTTGGAAGAGGGCAGCCTTTTATTCCCTGTTCAGGTTACCTGTCAGGTGAGAGACAAAAACGGTAGGCAAAACCTGTTGAGTTAGTTTCTTAAGAGTTACACTCTTCTCATCTAATGCAGGGCTTTCGACTGATTAGTTGCTACTAATCCAAGAAGGAAAGATTACACATATAATTAACCACTGTGCAAATTACCGAAACTCTGCTATAGATATAAGGGCCTTGTCCAGTGTAAGGCTATTTATTTATTTGTGAGATTACTATGCCACTGTTTCTGTAGAAGATCAAAGCTGCTTACAAAGGGCTCCTCCCTCTTATTTCCTTCAGCCATTTGTTCACCATAAGATATCTGCGAGATACGTTGGGCTGAGAGAGAATGGCTAACTCAAAAGGCAACTGAGACTTTGTTTTTTCTTGAAGACGTTTTGCTTCTCATCTAAGAAGCTTCCTCAGTTCTGACTGACAGAACTGAAGAAGCTTCTTGGATGCGAAGCGAAACGTCTTCAAGGAAAAACAAAGTCTAGTTGTCTTTTGAAAAGCAATCTTTGGGACAGCCATGATCCGGATGACTGAGAATCTCCATAGACATTTGACTAACTCAAAGCTTCCGTGGCTGAAGCTGGACTCAAACCTCCGTCTCGTGATCTGTAATCACCTACCCCATGTTGTTCTCAACATTTAACATTTATACATGTTGGGTTGTACATACAAATAGGCGTAGTGTTGATCGGCTTCCGTCTCACTGATAAAGCCACTTAACGAAGTTTCCTTATTTTGGTCCAGGGGAAAAGCTGGCAGGTGCATCGCAGCTATGAGGAATTCCGCACCTTGGATGCTCACCTGCATTGCTGTATCTTTGACCGGCGTTTCTCTCAGCTTCCTGAATTGCCACCCCTCAGCCAGGTGCAAGCTCATCCTGAGGTGACTGTCTGGTTTGTGTGTGTAAGGGAGCACTTTTTGTGTTGCCAGCTAATACTTCCCAATCATTGGGTTGACCTTTTAAGTTCGGCAAAGATGAAGGTTGCTCAACATCTTCAGGTTTCTTCTTTGGGAGCAACCTGTTCTGACCCAAAGCAAGAAGCAGAGTCTTGGTCCTGGCAAACCCCCTTTCTGTGAATTCCTTTCATTCACAGTCAGCAAGGCTTAGCAAACAGCCTTTCAGAGGAATGTTTATCCACACGAACCTTATCTCGCTTGGAGCGCTGCCAAATAAGTAGTTTCCAAATGCAGGGCAAGGCAAAACCTGGCACAGAGTCTCTTATTGTCACAAACAGAACTTTCCAGTCTTGAAACGACTGAATGAACAAATTGTTTCCTGTAAAAACCCTGTTCACTCCTCTTTTGTTTCCTATGGGAGGAGCCAATCACCTCAAGATGTGGCTTTATTCCCAAGTCGACCCCGCTTTCTTAGTTGTTCTTGTCTTCTGGCAGTTCTGCGCACGCGCACACTGGGAACAGGCTCCAACTGTTCCTCTGCCTCACTGCTGTCTAGTTTCCTCTCTGCCTCCAACGTAGAGTCCTCGTCTGAGTTTTCCTCAGCTCCCAGGACTGGCCCATGTTCCTCCCCAACCTCCTCACTGTCCGACTCTGCTGCCAGCTCCGCGGGCTACAGCACAACCATAATATATCATGTTGTATGATGAATAATGGAAGAATAATCAGAGGGGTCTCCTGTTACACTAAGAGCATCAAATTTTCTGTCAAAATTTTGGAGGAGCAAAAACCTCACCTGGAATACAGGAATGGGTTGTAGCTTAGAAGTTGCATAAATTGCAGCCAGGAGCTTCTTGATATTGTCATTTGAGAGGTTCAAATGGAAGGTCAATTCTGAATTTTGAATCTGAATTTTATTATTTGTATGCCGCCCTTCTCCGGGAAGGACTCAGGGCGGTGAACAATTCAAAAAGGGGAAATTGAAAGCCATCTAGAAGATTCTAGACTGTGGTTTCTCAGCTTCAGGAATATTAAGATGTATGGATTTCAATTCCCAGAACCCCTTGCACTTCATGCTCTCTGAGGAATTCTGGGAATTGAAGTCCTCACTTCTTAAAGTTTGTGATCTTGAGAAATACTGCTCTAGGAAATAATTGCTATTCAGAATAAACATTCCTGGATAAGATGAACTGCTGTGAAGAATTTTTTCCAAATGGGGAAGTTTCCCAACCTCTCTCTCAAACTGTTGTTGGTTCTTCTTGAGGCTTGAATTTGGAAAAGACTATCGCTATTTATATTGTTTATTTCTCTCCCTTGCAGCTCCTGGTTCCCATGCTTTCCCAGTACCTCGAGAAGCTCTCTGCTATCGTGGATAGCAATATCAATTGCAGCCCAGTTCTCACCTGGATGGAGGTGAGACTCCCGAGCATGTTTTGCCGACCGGAAGCCATCAAATTAAAGACATGGGGAGGAGGGGTGGGAGATAGAAAACACAGTAACGTTTATTTTATTAAATTTATACGGCTACCCAATTCTATCGCAACTGTGGTGGTAACACCATCTAAGTCAGGGGTGTCAAAACTCAATTTCATTGAGGGCTGCATCAGGGTTGTGTTTGAACTTGGGAAGGGCGATCAGGGGCATGGTCAGGATGTCACTCATGTTGGGGGCGCCTGTGGCGCCCCAAGTACTCGTCCAGCGAAAACAGGCTCCTGAGCTCTGTTTTCGGCTACAACGGCCTCCTGTAACCCCTCTGCCACAAAAATGGAGTCCTGGCTAGTTGTTGAGCATAGCTATTGCCTCATACCTAATGCTACCTTTCAGTTTCACTCCAATCTTTTCCCTATCTTCAAAGTTCCCAATCACTAAATCTCTATGGAGATTCTCAGCATCCAGGTCCTGGTTGTCCCAAATGTGCTTTTTTCAAGAGGCAACTGGACTTCCTTGTTTTTCCTTGAAAGACGTTTCACTTTCCATCGAAGGAGCTTCTTCAGCTCTGACTTGATGGTAGTGGGAAATTAAAGGATTTTATTATACTCTTTGCAGACGGCTGGTCATTTTTATCCTTTTAGCGAGTCATTAAGGCCACTTGGAAGTTTATCTATGTCATCTGAGTTGGGTGCAAATGGGTGTGGAGCAGGGGTGGATTCCTGCCAGTTCTAACCCCCTCTATAGAAGAGGTTCTACAAATCTACAGTGCCATTTAGAACCAGTTCCAGCTCCCTCCCCCCGCCTGTCCACACATCATCAAGATGAAGAGCAAGAGGAGGAATTCTCAGAGTTGAAGTCCACAAGTCTTAAAGCTGCCAAGTTTGAACACCCCTGGGGTTTTTATTCTAAAGGGTTAGGGGTGCAAGGGTCTTGTAGCTTGACAGCTTTAAGACTTGCACACTTCAATGCCAGAGTTCCTGACCCAACATGACTGGAGGAGGAATTCTGGGAGTTGAAGTCTTAAAGCTGTCAAGTTTGAACACCCCCGGGTTTTCTTTTCTAAAGGGTTAGGGGTTGAAGGGTCTTGTAACTTAAAAGCTTTAAGACTTGCATGCTTCAATGCCAGAGTTCCTGAGCCAACATGACTGGAGGAGGAATTCTGGGAGTTGAAGTCTTAAAGCTGTCAAGTTTGAACACCCCCGGGTTTTCTTTTCTAAAGGGTTAGGGGTTGCAAGGGACTTGTATCTTGACAGCTTTAAGACTTGCATGCTTCAATGCCAGAGTTCCTGAGCCAACATGACTGGAGGAGGAATTCTGGGAGTTGAAGTCTTAAAGCTGTCAAGTTTGAACACCCCCGGGTTTTCTTTT